CATTAAGAATTTTCATACGGTCATGTTCAGTGAACTTGTTCTCTAACAAGCACCCAAATATATGTATTTGCGTCCCACACTAATGTTGATGGAATGCAACATTCTTATCCAATAAGCATTCATACTATGTGCAAGTCTTTTCCGGATTTATTCGATATCCCATCTCGAAATATCCAACGACTTGGAACTGTATTTAAGATCACAACTTCCAAGATATGTTCCATGATCACCATCTCTATGCGCAACCATATCTTATAGCTAGTGATCTAGGGATTTTATCTTAAGTGCAAATATATGATAAATGCTTACTCTTAAAATAAAGTAATGCCTTATTATTTAATATAATTCCAATAGATTGTATTTACAAGTAGAATATGTCCAATCTGATTGGAACGCCGGGTATCTTACTCTAACAGCTACAAGTACATAATAGTGTACATAAGGGTGTACATAACACTCATATTGAGTGGGACCCACTAAAAATACAAAATCAAGTGGTCCCTACTCTATGTGAGTGTTATGTACACCTTTATGTACATTTATTATGTACATGTAGCATTTTCCTTTATCTTTCATGGGATTCTTTTGTTTCTTTATGATTTATAAAACTTTTTTAATAATCTGATAAATAATATAGTACGTTACGATAATACGATTATATAGTTCTTACAATCACATAAGAGCATCTGCAATGCTTTAGGTTTATTTTTGTCTATGTGAAATGTAAATGAACCTAAGTCTTGGATGACATGGACAAAAGTATATAAAATTAACAAAATCTACTCCAGTGCAAGGAGACTAGGTCTCTATTTGGGTCTAAAATGGACTTAAGGTTAGACCGAGTCTCTTTTTCTTGCTGCCACATCAGCAAGACCTAGTCCACTTACACTTACATTGGAAAATATATTTTTTTAGACTGAGTCTATTTCTGAGGTGGCATTTAATTTTTTTTGATTAAACTCAAAGCATTGTGGATGCTCTAATATTAGTGTCACATAACACTATATATATAATTTGGTGTAATATACACTGATTGCATAGGTGATAAAATTTTATCAGGACATAAGATTGACTAGTATGATTTATGTAAATGGAGCATTTATAATGCTATACTAGATTTATTCTTATAAACAAATACTTCATAATATTATGTCTATCATATTATCTACGAATAGAATGAGATTATAATAAATTAAGTAATATAAAATAACCAAAAGAAAATCAGTTAAAAATATTATAGATAAATAACATATAATTATATATCTTATCATATAAAAAATGCTACGGTCCCGATACGGAATCATTCCATCGGGTTTGAAACCGTTAGATAATCATGTAACCGTCGGAGATAGTTGATCTACGGTCACAAACCCCGACAGAATGGTTCTGTAACGGGACCGTAACATCTCTCCATCATATTATCTACGAATAGAATGAGATTATAATAAATTAAGTATTATAAAATAACCAAAAGAAAATCAGTTAAAAATAGTAAAGATAAAAAAAAAAAATATTGAATTTTACAGATCTCATTAACATAGAATTATAAAATACCAAAAATATTTTATTTATGATTCTAATTAAGGATAGAAGGTTTGCAGTGAGCCTTATCGGTGGAGCTGAAAAGTGGAATACGTGTCCAAATCCAAAAATCGAAATCGCTAGTTTGAGGCACATAAATCGTGTGTTACGCCTCCATGTTTCACCCTTTACTGGGACAAACAATTGAAATTGTACAAAACCGTAGAGGAGTGAACTGGAGAGAACCTAACCCAGATCGCAAAAA